CCCCCCCCCCTCCCCTCTTTCTTCCTCCTCATCCCCCTCCTCTTAAGGAGGCTTATACCTCTTACGTTCTAAACTACGTCTCACGCCTCTAGGTGGTGGAATGCCTCATGTCACGCCTCTGCATTTTAAAACATTGGTCCTAACAAAGTGCAGCGCCTTAGTGAGTAGTGACCTATCTAACCTACCAGTATACTATTTTCCTCTTTTCTCCATGCCTTTCAGTGGCATTGGATAGACTTTCTACAAGCTGGGTGAAGTGACAAGAAATTTCCGATTTGATGGATGGGGCCAAATATGCACTTCTAGGGAAGTGGCATTTATGCCAAATGAATTTAGCCCTTCTAAGAAAAGGCTATAGATTTGGGAATGTAGAAGAGCCTTTGTGAAGAAGGGCAATTCTAATTAAGTAGAGGTGCATGGAGAAGGGTCAGACTTCTGCCATCTCCATTATATGGGTCTAGCACTTGGAAGAGAATCCTTAATCACACTCATGATCTATTGTGATGAATGTCCATTGCCAGGCAAATACAGGTGTATGGGATAAACATTGGAGAGCCTCCCTCCATCATGTATGGGTCTGGCACTTTTTTTTTATCAATAATGGCTGTGGACAGAACAGAATGGAAAAAGGGGATTCAATGTAGCCAACTTCATATAGCTGGGACAAGGCTTAGATGATGATATTTTATTGAGTATGAACAAAAGGATTGTGTGTGGACATTAATGTGCCAAAGACCCTGGTGCAGAACATGGATATGGTGGCTTTTGTTAAGTTGTTCAGGCAGCATGGTCTTAGGAATAGTTGTAAAAGGTGTTGTTGCCTATGCACCCATGGTTGGACCACCTGAATGCCTTAATTTATAGCAGCAATGGTGCCAATTTAGGAGATATCACAAGGTGGTTGCCTTATTAATTATTATAATATCATTGATATAGCTAATGTGTGTGTTAATACATACATACATATATATATATATACATATATATATATATATATGACAAAGAGGAAGAAGTGTATGTATAAGTTAATTGTTCAAAAAAAGCATATTTCAGAGGAATGAAGTTCTCAGGTTAAAGTAATGATTGCTGAAGTATAACTTGTACTTTTTGACTCTTCTTTTGATGTATTGCCTATTTTTCTATGTACATGAGTCATGGTGTAAGACCAAAGGGTAATGATTTATAAGGTGTGCTTAGGCACACAAGTTAGGTGCACTTTATCTGGAACTTAGTGCAGCAGCATTAAAAGATGAGCACATTTTGTTCTCTTTTTTTTTTATTGTAGATTCTTATGTTTTTACACCTTTGTAATGGGTTTTCAACTTCTGAATTATCTTTTATTGCTGTTTGTACAATAGTAATGCTCTATTAACTTTTAAAATAAAACAATTCCTACAATGCTGGAAGGGTATGATATTGGAAAAACTTTGACCAATCAGAATCCCCCTGGTGAATTTTGATGAATGCCACTTCTATGACACCAGTTGACTAGTTATGAGTTATTTAGCTATCAGACCTTTTTGGTAATATAGTCAGACCCCAAAAATAAAGGATTTTTAAGTACCTGAAGCCTTGGTTCTTCCAAATTGGATCTCAAATTGCGAAGTATCCACTAAAGATGCAACAATAATGCACCTAATATCTGATTTCTAGTCCTAAAATAGAATGAACTCAACTGAAATCATAAAACCAACCATTCTATATATGGGCAAAAAAAGTATGTCCTTGCTGCTGCACAAACCCTAGCATGGGTTTGTTTCAAGGGGCTTTTGTGGAGGTGGAGGGCCAATCTCCTAGGATTAATAACACACGCTACTTACTCAAGTGGGCTGGCAGATGTTCTCACAAAACAGGGAGTGGACAGATCCACTCTATTTTGGGCGATGTTGTAATTTGTAATAGTAAAAAGGGGGCATGGTAATTAGGGTGGCCAATCTGGTTTTTGCTGTATTTGGGCTACTATGTAGCAAATATTTGTTAACTTTTTTCAATCATTAATAAATAACTCATTTTGCTGATAAAAATAAAATACTAATACAAGCTACTTAAAGTAATGCAACTAGGAGATAAAGATACATTGAAAGTTTCTCATGCTTGAATTGTTGGAGTCAAGATTTCCTGCAAGAAAAATCTCTGCACATACAGCATCCAGCCACACGTTGGGAATATCTCCTGTACATATATGTTAAATTCATAGGGAGATGTTCCCACTGTGTGGCTGGATGCCTGTGTTTGCAGAGTTTGTGCATAGTTTTTGCTTGCAGGAGATCCCATTGCGAATCATTGAGTGTTTAAAGCACTTTGGTACAATCCATGTTTTCACTGTATATGTTTTATATGTCATTTGAGCCAATAATCTTTTGAATCATTTAATTTCTTTGAAGACTCGGGTTTGCCTTTTATGTATAACTAGTTTTTTACTTCTTTTTTTTTTGTAAATTTGTGTGCTTCGAAAAGGCATGCATCTCATCTTGCACTTCCTTTAGCCTTCATCCTTCTCCATTCCTTTTTGGTTTTCACTTTTGGTTGACACGATATAGAAAACTTAATTTTAGGGCACTAGATGTGCTTGTTGGAAATTGCAATCGGCTAGGAATGCACTTCTTTTAGCCTTCATCCTTCTCCATACCTTTTTGGTTTTCACTTTTGGTTGACATGATATTGAAAACTTAATTTTAGGGCACTTTTCAAAATTAAAACGAAGAATTCTTTCTGTACATAAAATGAATTGTATTAGTCAACTTATATTTCTCGTAGAAGTATTTACTGACTAAATCTTTTTTGGTGTTGCAGCGAGAGTATATACGGGGAATCAGTGCATGGAACTTCAATCTAGAGGATTTAAAAGCTCAGGCTGCTCTTGTAAATAGATCCCTGTTTATTTTTGTCCTTGACCTTTATTTCATAATTTTTCTGTTGGTGGATAATAACAAATTCAGGGTTCTTTTTACCCTGTCATTAATGATGGCTCTGTCTGCAGATTCAGGATGATGGAGTTCCAAGTGAAGAAGATCAAGACATGAATAGCAAATTAAATGGATGTAATGTTGATTTAGTACCAGAGCAGTCCCCTGAAAGGGTTAACAATTCTAATGTAGCACCTGCAAAGGTATAAAATTAATTTCTAGATAATCTTTTATTACCTTGATTCATTGCTTTGTTGTAATTTTAAACTTATTTTCAGCAAAAATTTGGATCCTCTTGGATATTTTAACATGTGCCTTGTTTGTTTCAGGATGCAGTCAATGATTTTAAGGACATGGAGGATTCCCTTGCTTCATTTCCTATTCGTCCTCTTCAGGCATTAAAGTATGTCCAGTTATTGTTGTAGTTATAATAGGTGTTTTATTATTAATTAATTATCATGGTATTGTCATTAGTTAGGAAGTGGATTTAGCAAAATACCCCTGCAATGAGTTATGCCTGTAATGATCGAGGATGCAGTCTTTATGAGCCTTTGCTTGGCTATCAATCACTTTTGCTGTTTATCAGTGCTTCTTGTGTTGGTATTATGCTCATAACTGGCTCATTCCAGTGGATTCTTGGTCTGGCCAAATTGCTTATGAGCTGACCAAGTGAACCTTCTTTTTTTTTGGGGGGGGGGGCTTTAAGTTGCTGTTTCTACACCAATATTTATTAATTTCTTGTCTGTCCATCTATTTACCTCAATCAGAGGTTATTTTGATGTTTGTGAGGATGATATCAATACAAGCAGCCCAAACTCAAAAGATGCTGTTCAGTTGGATTCTGATCAACAGTGGCAACTACAGTCAGCAGCAAGGCCAGAAGACCCTGAAACTCGACAGGATGATGGTGAGAATTTGGAAAGAAGTAGCTCTATATCCAGATATGTCATACTTGGACAAAAATTCTTGAGTGGTTCACTTCTACCAGAGAATGGTTTTTCCCCGTCTAGAAAAGTTAATGGTGATGGGGACAGGTAAAATTAGTACTTTGGAGTCTCACTTGGGCGTGAATGTTATTGATATCTTCTATTAAACATTAGCTCTAATGGCTAACATGTTTGGTTCTCATTTGAAGGATATATGTTTTAATCTTTGTTGGTTTGGTTCATGCAGTAAGCCTCTAGTTGCATAATTGCAAGGGCCATGTCAATTAATTCTTGCAAGTTGCATCAGTAATGTAGTTGACTAAACGTAGTGATTGTACAACTTTGACTGGAAAGTTGCATCAGTAATGTAGTTGACTAAACATAGTGATTATACAACTTTGACTGGAAAGTTGCATCAGTAATGTAGTTGACTAAACGTAGTGATTATACAACTTTGACTGGAAAGTTGTAACAATATTTAAGGAAAGCAAAATAAATATACATATACATGAGACAGATCAAAATGAGTACCAGTGAGGGAACCATACTTAAAGAATCAAACCCCAACTTTATTGTTAATAAATGAAAAACATTATTAATAAAAATATAGCAAAGGTACAAAAGAAGGATACAATGCTCTATATAGCTTTCGTGTGCATTCCACAAATGGATATCATTTGGTATGAATTATACAGAAGGTATCTACAACAAATCAACCCATTTTGATCATGGTATCTCTTTAGAGACTTTTGAAATCTTTCAACACCAGGAAATCTATGTGCAAATTAATATCTGCAACAATTATATTGGTTGGGTGTGAGCATTCATCAGAGATTCTGTGGTCCGTCTCCTTGCCAGATGCCAACCTAAAACAAATAGTGAGAGGTAGTACAAACCATGTAATATGGCCCTTGTTACTGACAGAGGCCTGCCATAAACAACCACGTGGGATGCTCAGTAGGGGCCCAATCCCATTAAATAGTGACAAGGAAAAGCACTGCATGTTTCTGTCATGTAATGTGGAAGTAAATTATCCCCATACTCTGAATTGTTATAGTGAACACATTTGCATCTATCTGATATCCTCAATTGAGAATTTCCAAGAGCTACAAATTATGCAAATGCTTCTGCCTTAGAGGAAGTGGATCTCCAAAAATTATTATGATCAAATGATGAATCTGTTATTCCATGAATCAACAAATTGCACAACCTAACTGAAATCCACCTATAGAATGCTCTCATGTCTTTAGTTCCTATCACAATGTGAACGTCCTTCCAAAGAACTTAGAAGGGTAACATACTCTTTACAGGAGATTACCTTTCCAGACCTCATCTGTGGAAGACGAAGACATGCCACCTGAATAGAGTCTACACAGGAGAACTACCTTTAAACCATACCCTGCTGCTGTAGAGCTGTCAATGGGTCAGCCCAGGTCCTGAACTGATAAGAAGACTATGTACACCCAGTCTCAAACCATACCCTGTAGGATCTATAATACCCAGGCCTAGAGCCGAGCCAATTATTAATCAAGCATAATCAGGTATGACTGGATAAAACCTGATATAATTACCTGTAATATAATTATTTAAACTTAATTTTTATAATCTAACCTTAAAAAAGACAGTAAGCAGTTAACCTGTTTAAATGCCAATAAAAACATATATATTAATGTTATGAACATAACCACGGGGAATTATTGTTAACCTGTTTATCAACCGAAGACCAAAACTGACACCAAAACTGAAAAAAAGTGCCTCAATAGTCAATACCCTTCTCTTTAACAAGGAGAGGCAACTACACCAACATACATGATTAGGACAAACCTGAAAGGGAAACACCAGAACAGCCAAACCCAGTCAATGCATTATGCGCCACAGAAAATGGCCAAATACTCCAACCTCCACCTTAACAAATAAATCTCCTAGGCTTGAAACTCCTTAGGATTTTCTAGAAAATATCCTTAGCTTCAGCCTTTTCTTTCTCTTCTAGACTAGGAGATCATACAAGCTCCTTCCATGTAATGATTGCATTCAAGTTCCTACCTCTAAGTTGTGTTTTGAGTCATTTGACACAGGATTCACATTTTCAACCCAATTCACCTCCTCCACTAAATCCAGTTGTTTGAATGCATCTCCATCTGCTGAGGAGTGAGGACTCATCTGAGACATCTGGTTCCAGTATTTTTGTGCTTCTATAATAAAAAAAATTATTTTTTTATTGTACTTGCAGTAAGCAATTCTCATTGTTATTTCTGTTTTCTTGTGTTTGTTTTGGGAACCCAAAAATCCTAGGTTCTGATGTACAGCTGTTCGATATCTTGAAATTTCAGAAGACATGCTAAGTGGGTAATGATCATGTTCTTTGCTCATAACCTTTTGGGCCCATAGGATCACCCATGACCCAACTGTGGGGTGGAGGACAGCATATTTTTTTGTTCTTTCTGGATAAAATCATGTCTGTGGAGGATTAAGTGTTGATTGATGTATTCGTCATGTGATATGGTTATAAGGTTGCGTCAGGTGATGTGCATTGCAGCCAAATTGCCAAGCTCAATAAGAGCATGCTAATAAAATTCAAGGTGATTTCTTATTTTTTTATCCGAGTTACCTTGAATTGAAGTTGAGGAGAGTCCTCTTTCATAGTATATTAGGGGAGCTAGATGTGAGGTTTAGTATGATTTGCATGTTACATATCCATTCTATCATCTAAAGATTTTACAGTGGACTTATAAATTTTCTAGTGAGCAGTCACCACCCTTTGATACCTGAACTGTAGGGGGAGCTTTGGATCTCTGCAGAATCTTTAGAAGGAAAAAGGATTTGTTATGGGTTACTGCTGCACATGAAGCATTAGATAAGAAACCAGAATAGAAACAGTTGGCAGGATCTTGGTACCTCTTGGGAAGCAAATTCAGGGAGTGGTGGAGTTGACAGGTCTATTTTGTTATGGGGAAAGCAACAACACAATTAATTGATGCAATGATGCTTGAACATGGATTTTGCTGTGGTGATCTATTACCTGTTGTATGCCAATTTTGTTCCCATCTGTTAGAACTAATGAATTTCCTCTAGTTGTGTTGAAAACCACAAAAAAAAAACACAAAAAAAAGGAGAATCAGGAAGTGGTAAACTGGAAATCCTTGGCAAAGTATATCAGCATGTCAAAAGTTCTTGTGCCTCTACATAAGCAATTACTTTGTTGTATTGCAAACCACCTTGATCTGCCACACTAACATCTCTCTTTTCTCAAAACTGTGAATAGTATGATTTGTTGACATACATAAAGATTATACGTTGGTTGGTAGTCATAATTGCTTTCACCATTACCATGTAATGAGATGGAGAATTTCACAGTGATACAATTGTAATTTGAGGGTCTTGAAACATTTTGAAGGGAATTTACACAACAAAAATATCAACCTGAGCGGAACTACAGTGGTCCATTGTCATATTGTCACAAGAAGGATATGAATAATATTACATCTGGTATGTTCAATGATATATTCTTTCATTAATAAAATTTAAGTTATTTATCAAAAAATGATATATTCTTTCATATTCATATATCTTATTTTGTTGAGTTCAAAGATGATATTTGACATTTTCTAAGTGTATTTTATTTTAATTATTTATGTCCCATGACACATTCGGGTGGTCTTGCATCTATGTAAATAGTGGAAGATGCATCAGAAGGAACAGTTGTCCAGCGGAAGGGGCGCTTCAAAGTCACACAAGCAGATCTCAGCCCCAAGGTATACTGGGATGACATCCCTTCCACCTCACAAATAAAATAAGAAAATCTCTCCTGTTAAAAAGATACGAAGTGGTTATTATAGGAGTATGATCAGCAAATGTAGAATGATGAACAAACTATTCATTGAAACATGGATCATTTAAAATACTCCACCACTGCCTCTGAAGCGAAAGTACTAGATGCCACTGGATTTCTGAAAAATAGAGTATCAAGAGTAATAGTGTCTAAAATTCTGATATAAGAATAATAAGGTTCTGCTTTTTCAAAGGCTAGTATGAGATTAGAAGGGAACAGTTTCTAGTGGAAACTGCTTATCAATTTTTAATAATAACTACCTTCTATTACATAATCACTGGAGAAGTATGAATGCACTTGTCTAATTTCATTATTGATTCTGTGAGTCTGGACTTGGTAGTTGTTTTAGTAATTCAAGTTCTTTCTCCATATGAAAGACCTTTTGCATATTAAAGAAACAAATGTACAGGTTTGTGTTCTAATCTGCATTTATTTGAAATGGGCATCTCCAAGGTTGAATTATGTGGATAATTTGGTAAAATCAACCTTTTAGATTTTGACACCCAGTATCAATATCCTTGTAGCATGGCTTAATTTCCCTGTATGTTTCGATGTCTACAATTTATCTTTTCTTTCCCTGCTAAAAATCCTAATTGGTCATAACCTTGCTATGTATGTGTGACCATTGACACGGTAATAATAAAAACTGAATTGATCATTCTTTTTCTTTCAGGCAGTTGCTTTGTAACCACTTCTGACTTTGTTTTTCATTCAGGCTACTCCTGCAAAATGCTTGGCCAACCAAGTTTCTGGAGGTTCAACTATTCCTACTTCTACCATTCCAGCTGCATTAGTTCTTCCATCATTGCAATATATATTGCAACAAAATTCAATGCAAAGGGTGTGTACTAATAAACCCATTCCATTGTTGTTTGACTAATCTACATTTCATCATCTTCTTTTTGGTAATGTTGGCAGGAACAAATAATTAAATTGATTAAATGTGTGGAGCAAACCTCTGGTAATTCCTGTATAACTTGCATTTCTGTTATTATGTCCTCTCGTTTCATTCCTTATTCCACAATATCATTGCTTTTTTTTTAATGTTTTTTGTACTGTGCAGGACATCACACTGAATTTGCTGATTCAGGTACAAGTGACCTGTCACAGGTAGCTTCCCTTCTAGTCTGACCATTATATTGTTCTTACTTCTTAGTTTGATAAAGTGGGCATTGCTTCAGTATTGCTGTTTTCTTACATGTCCTATGGTGCTGACGCATCTCTAACCCTGAATGGTTGTAAGTTAAGCACAAGATTGTGGTTTTGGCAAATAGTGCCTATGAGTCGGGTCCTATGCTAATCTTGGGCATGTAATTTCCACTTTTAAGTCGAATAAATATTTAAATGTAATAACATTAAATATAAATATTAGTTATACTAGAACTTATTTTTTAATTAATCATCACCCATCATGCCTTACCCAACCATACGGGGTCAGCTACGTGAATCCTGTTTCGGCAATCTGTTCTATTTAAAGCCATATCCACTGTTAAATTATTATTGCTTAAACCATTTCTTACTACTACCCATATCCTTGGTCTACCTAATCACTTGTTCTAACTGGCGCAGTCGGTGGTCTTCTATGCACATGCCCAAACTATCTTCATTACTCTCTTTTTATGTAGTTAAATAATTTATTCGCATGGATGTTTAACAGATATGTTTGAATCTGACTGATCAGAAGGAGAACAAGACAGGGAGTTGGAAGAAATTGAATTCTGAAAATTGGAAAATCTGTATTTGCTCAAAGTATATGCAACAGCTTAGTAGTTAAATGTCTTGTGTCCATCTAAAATGTGGAAAGTATATTCTGATTCTGATAAACTAAATCAGCCGTAATTCATGCATTTTTTTTCTTTCCACCTTTTCTTTTCTCTCTTTTTTTTTTTTGGTTTTTCTTGCTCTCAATGAAAAGAAAATGAAGATCAAGTTGGAAAATGACTTGAATAATTGGGTATTTCTTGCCAAAAGATTAATTATCCAGAAATGGAAGTTTAGAGAAAAAGAAATTGTTCATCTTGTTTAGATTACAGTTGGTTTACTAGTACTTGTTTTGATTATCATTTACAATATGCAGGTATCTCCAACTTCTGCCCGGGAAAGAGAATTGCTATCTGAAGTCATTACTCTCCAGCAAAGGTATGAAATGAGGACAGTTTCTAGTTGTAACCTAGTTACCCCGGATATGGCAATGACACAGGTGGACAGTGTCGGATATGTAATTGACACTAAAAGGGCAGCCCAGTGCACGAGGCTCCTGCCAATGCAGGGTCTGGGGAGGGATAGATGTACACAGCCTTTTACTCCTACACATTCAGAGAGGCTGTTTCCAAGATTTTAACCCTGGTCACCAAGGTCGCAATGGAGCAACCCAACCATTGTGCCCAGGCCCACCCTCATATGAAATTGACACTAATAATTGAAATATCCGACATGATGCAGTACCCTTGTACAAGTATCCGGGTATCATACGTTGTAACTTATTTTCTTGATTTTCATCATCCAACTGACATTTTCTTGATGCCAGCATTGGCAACCTTGTTGAAGAGCTGCAGAAACAAAAAGCGGCAAATTCTCAGGTTTGCATCTCCCCTCTTACAAATGTTTGTTTAGGTATGATGAATTAAATATACCTTTTTTTCCGCTTATTGTGTAGCTAGAGAAGCAATTAAATGATTTACATGTCAAGCAAGAAGTGGAGAGGACACGGAAAGAATGAAGAGCGGGTATGAAGTTGCCTAAGTTCTGCAACAATCTCTCCCCCTCCACCAAGAGCTCTTTGGGATCTCCATCAAGCTGCCTTTTTAACCCAAGAATAACGAAAGCATCATCAGTAAACCCGGGCTCTTGTTTGTATTTTTTGTGTACATTATATTGGGGAATTGGGTGCTGCACGCACACCCAGATTTTGAAATGGTGTTCAGAGATCGTTATATATAGTGTCTTGTAATTTAATGATCCAATATTGTATATTATGTTATGGAAACAAGATTCAAAATATCAATATTGCAAAGCATATGAAAGGCAGTTTTAGCATAATCGCGATTCACGTGGGAAAAGCAGTGCTATCTATGCGCGTTTAATGACATAATTTAAGGGTTAGCACGACAAATTTGTTTAAACACTAGAGAATAACTATTGACTTTATCATGTATTAAAATCCATGTATTGGTTAATTGGTATATTTGATGATACAACTTTTGGCCTGTATAATTTCATTTTTATTGGTGCAAAGACACAAGAGTGCTAGTCTTGAATTATTTTTGTTTTAAACTTTACTTTGTCTCGTCCGTTCGTGCATTACATCGTAACACATTACAGGGTGATTATGGGGCCACAGCATCTGTTGCCTATACCAATGTGGGAATCTGGTTTTGACCAATCACAAGTAAACACTCCAGTGTGCCAGTGTGTTATGTACACATGGGAGCCGTGCACAGCAAGGTTCACATGACAGCAAGATACTCGTTAGGTCCATTGACCTTACCATGGAGAATCTAACTGGTTGGTCTGCCCTGTTAGGCGTTAAACATGAGCACAATGACTGGATGGTCCTCTGCCAAGTAACCTAGTGGCTCAATGCGTCGGATCTAGTTCAGGAGTCTACCAGTCCCAAGCCAACTCAACGATGCATGCATGGACCAACTTGCATTCGCAATGTAAATTTTTGTCGGTTTGATCCTCCACCTTACAAGATGGGATCTGCATGTGTAAGCCAATCAAGAGTGAACGCATCAGTTATCCGTACAAAGTACCAATTGTATGGTGTACTAAACTACTAACCTATTTATTCTTGATTAGGCTATGCAACTGAGGAGATAAGTCAATGTAACCTTTTTTATCGTTGTGTTAATTCAATAATTCATGACAAGGAAACAATTGAGGAGGATGTTGTCATTAAAATTAGAGCTGGATGAGCAAAATTGAGGAGTGCATCCAGCCTTGTATAATAGTCAAATACCACTTCGATCGGTTGGAAGTAAAATTTTATAAAATAGTTGTAAAGCCAACAATACTGCATGGAGCAGTTTTGGGTGGAAAAAGACTCGAAAAGATGAGGTAAAAAATGAAATCATTCCAAGGAATCTAAGAGTAGCTCTAGTAGATGATAAAATGAGGAAAGTAGATTAAGAATGATTTGGCCACATACATAAAAGACTTTTTACAAGAACTGTGGACAGTTGAAAGGTCTAGAACTAGAAGCAAACCAAAAAGGATATGGGTTAGAGTCATAAAAAATGAATTAACCACTCATAATTTAACAATGGATATAATATCTAATAGAATGAAATGGAAAAATAGGATTCATGCAATCAACACCTTGTAGTTAAGATAAAGACTTAAAATAATGATGATTATTGGCTTACACAGTCCATGTGTGTGTGTAAGGGTGTAAATTGGGCCGGATTAAGTTGGGTTGAGGTGAACTCTAACTGAGTTGTTGAACCCCTAACCCATCCCTAAGACTTCAGGTTGGTTGGATTCAGCTTAGTCTCAGGTTGGTCCGATTTCTCTATTTCTTTTTGCCAAATGTACTTATTTCCTAGACTCTGAGTGTTCATGTTAATTCAATATTAGCATTATTATGTATAAAGTATGCATATACATAAATGCATAAATACTTATAATGAAAAATACATAAATATGTAGATACATACATTTATGGATGCATAGCTACATATACATAAGTACTTGCATACATCAATAAGTATTTAAATAATATTTATACATGTAAATATAAAGTTATAAAGTTAAGTCAGGTTTAGGTTGGTTGGGCTATCAAGACCTCAATCCAATGTAAAGTTGAATTCATATTTTTCAACCCCAACCCAACCCTTCTTTTTTGAACTAATTGGCCCAAATTGCAACCCTATGTGTAGAATCAGATTAGCAATATTGAATAGGCAAATGCTAGCCTACGAGAGCATTGACCATCCTATATCATAAGAGAATGAACTGTTGCCACACAACGCCCTTGTATTGGCATTTATTTCACTTTATGACCCTTAATACTTTATGATCATAGCAAACATGAAATGAGAGGTTAAAGTGTTTTTATACTATATAGAATAAGCAATACTCTGAATCACCAGTATAACCCTATTATTTTACAAAAAGAATATAACCCGATGCTAGCAAAACTATCATTATTGTTTATTTGATTAAAGTATTGAAATATTCTATAAGCCACATAACAACTTGTCTTTTCAAGTGGTTGACATGAGTAGCTAAAGCCAATACCGGATGAAGCAGTATTGGAGGTGAAGAAATAGTTAGTAAGCCACGAGTGTGGGGTTCCAAACCACACTCAGGCTCTAGTGTGTGTGGGTTCATACCCACACCTAATTATATTTTAATTTCCTTTTAAGTTGGGCCGGCTGGCATATTATGTGTTTGTTTTATTAGGACTAGGATTTTATGTTTTATTGGGAATAGGATTTTATGGTTTTCATCAACCGAACCCCTTTCTTCTCCTCTCTTCTCTCTTCTCTCTTCTCCCCTCTCTCTCTCTCTCTCTCCCTCTCTCTCTCTTCAAATCTAGTTCTCTTCTTCTTCTTTTCTTGTAAGAGAGAAGTCCACTAATTTTTCAAGTTGGTATCAGAGCATTTGGTGAGAAAAACTAGGGTTCTCATGTAAGCCTGATCTGGTCGGCTACATGAAAATCCATTAGATCAAGATCTTTACAGCAGCTGCTTGGTTCTTGGAGGTTACTGGAGTACTGAAAACTGCCCAAGAAAGATTCTTGGAGAATGATTCGGTGACCAGGAAGAATCAGAGATCAATTTCAACCAAGATAGGGTTTCAAACCAAGAGGACGATCAGAATTCTGAGAAAGAGTTTGGGCTTGATCAAGGATAAAGTTTCAAACCAGAGAGGTCAATCAGAGTTCTTGTTGCTGAGAAAGGTACAACCTTTAAGGTAACTTGATAGAAGTTATCAAGATTTCTTTATGATCAACTTTCTTTTCTGAAAAAGGTGCAACCTTTAAAGGTTATTTGATCATAGATAATTGTCTTTTAGCAGCAAAAATTATGGATTGTTGAAAACTTTTTCCTTCTTAGAGTATTGTGATCTACTTAGTATGGAAAAAATTGGAAGTGAAGTGAAAACTCAAGGGGAAGATTTTGGGACTGGTAATATGACAGAAAATTCGTTCCAGATCACCACTGTTAGGTTTGATGGAACAAATTACTTGGAATGGGCCCAATCAGCAATGATGGCCATTAGGGGCAGAGCGAAATTAGGGTATGTAACTGGAGACACAAAAGAACCAGCCAAGGAAGATATATATCATCCAAGATGGGTTCAAGATAACTACTTGGTGATGACCTGGCTATGCAACTCTATATAGCCCCACATTAGTCGAAACTATCTTTGGGCAAAAACAGCCAAAGAGATTTGGGGCAGCATGAAGAAGACTTATTCCCAACCCCTCAATATTGCAAGAGCTTATGAGCTGAAAAACCTCAAGCAAGGAGAGAAACCAGTTTCAGTATATTTTGCTACTCTAAAATCCCTTTGGCATGAAATTGATCACTTGGAAACTATTGAATGGGAAAGCCAGAAGGATGCAGCAACATATAGAAAACTGATTGAAACAAATAGGGTTTTTGAGTTCTTATCCGGTCTAAACTCAGATTTTGATATTACAAGACAACAACTTATCACTAGGGAGAGTGTGACTCTATCTCAAGCCAACTCATTAGTCCACAGTGAAGAGAGTATGAAGAAGGTATGCTATCTTTTCAGCTTACATAAGCAGTCTTAGCAGCAACAAAATTCAAGGCTAGAGGAGAAAAGGAAAAGGAAGTGAAGAAGGAAGACAAAAGAGATATTTTTTGTGATCATTGCAAGAAGCCCAAACACATTAGAGACACCTGTTGGAAGTTGCATTCTCATCTAATGCCAGCCTGACTTAGAAACAAGAAGGGATGTGCAAATACAACAACTAATACATCATCTTCCACATCCTTGGATGCCTTAGCAGCTGCTCGGGCTGCACTAACACAACTAGAGAAAGAAGCTGGTATTTCTGGATCTACATCTCAGTCTTCAACTACTACACTTGCTTAGCCTACTTCAGCCCTTGCTCATACAGGTACAAGAGCTACTGCATGTCATGCTTCTGTCCTAGGTAATACTAGACCTTTTTGGGTAATAGATTTAGGTGTTTCAAACCATATGATCAGCTTATCTACTTTATTTAACACCTATTATTTATCCTCTGGAGAAACAAAGTTTCTTTTGCTGATGGCTCCCTTGTACCAATTTCTGACAATGGAGACATCAGATTGTCTGATGCCATCACCCTATCCTCAGTTTTGCATGTTTCAAAGCTTAGTGCTAACTTACTTTTAGTTAATAGTATTATTAAAAATCAAAACTGTTCAATAACTTCTTTCCTTGATTGGTGTGTTTTTTAGGATCTGGAAATGAAAAAAGTGATTGGGATTGGCCGTGAGATGAATGGAGTCTACCTACTTGAACAATCACAAGGGGAGCAGAGTAAATTAGGAAATTTGTTTGTTTCTTAGTCCTATAGTAAGATTATGCTTTGGCACAACCGCTTAGGTCATTTATTTTTTGGGTCTTTAAAGAATCTTTTTCCAAACTTATTTGAGTCAGTAGAAGTGTCTAGTTTAAAGTGTGAAAACTGTGAGCTTGTAAAATATAGTAGATCTTCTTATCCTTTGAGTAATAAAAGAAGCAACATTTCTTTTGAAATTGTATATACCAATGTTTTGGGGCCATATCATATTTCCACAATGGGAGGGTATAGATATTTCTTATTATTTGTTGATGATTATACCTATTTTTCATAGGTCTACCTTATGCACTCTCGAGATGAGGTCCCTTCTCTGACCCAGGCTTCCCATCAGATGGTCCTAACCTAATTTGAAACCAAGATCAAAATTCTTAGATTTGATAATGCCAAGGAATACTTTGCAAAACCCTTGGCATCCTATCTCCTTGATCATAGGGTCATTCATTAGAGCACCTGTCCTCGTACACCTCAGCAAAATGGGGTTGATGAGAGAAAAAACAGACATATCTTAGAGGTAGCCAGAAGCATCATGCTCAACTCTAATGTTCTCATACGCTTCTGGGGGGATGCAATCCGTACAGCCGTATACCTTATTATCAGGGTTCCTTTGCGGGTTCTAAACATGCAAACATCGTTCAGTCTTCTGTATCCAAATAAGGACCTATTCACTATTCCCCTCAAAACTTTTGGGTGTACTTGTTTTGTTCAAATCCTTGGACCTCATCACTCCAAATTTGATCACAAAGCTACTAAATGTATTTTCCTTGGGTATGCACAAAATCAAAAAGGATATTGCTGTTACGAGCCTGTTTCAAGGAAGCATTTTGTGTCAATGGATGTCACCTTTTTTTAGGATATGCCCTACTATTATAAGGCCTCTCTTCAAGGGGAGAGTAGTGAGGAAGGGATTTCAGTTTCAGCCCTAAAGTTCCTTTACCTATCCAATTACTGAGGGAGAGAGTTGTGAAGAGGGTTGTCAAAAATGCAGAGTTAAGAGTGTATTACAGAATGTGGTAGAGGCAGGTTGATTCTCGTACTCAATAGCAATCCAGGCCAATCCGAACATCTTCTACAACCCCAGATCCATATACTACTACTACTCCCACTGTTACAAATGCTTAGCCTCCACTGTCAGATGACCTTGATCTTCCAATTGCTATTCATAAAGGGAAGCACCGTTGCACTTCATCCACTGCCCATTGCATCTCCAAGTTCCTTTCCTATAATTGTCTCTCATAATTCTATAGATCTTACTTGACATCTATTTCTACTATTCTCATACCCAGAAATGTGCAAGAAGCCTTGTTGATACCTGAATGGAAGGAAGCAATGCAAGTAGAGATGGATGTTCTTGTCAAGAGCAACACATGGGAACTACTTAACCAGCCTGAAGGGAAGAAACCTGTTGGATGCAGATGGGTGTCTATTGTGAAATATAATGTTGATGGTACTATAGAGAGGTATAAGGTCAGATTGGTTGCAAAGGGATTTACACAAACTTATGGCATAGACTATACAGAAACCTTTGCACCTATTGCAAAAATGAACACTATCGGAGTTCTTCTATCCGTTGCTGCAAACTTCTCATGGCTACTATTTCAGCTGGATGTTAAGGATGTCTTCCTCAACGGAGACTTGCAAGATGAAGTATACATGGAGTTACCCCTGGCTTTTATAGTATAGAAGCAAGAAAGAAAGTTTGCCTTTTGAAGAAGGCCTTGTACGGGGTGAAACAATCTCCGAGAGCTTGGTTTGATAGGTTTATACTGGCTTTGGACAAATTCAGATACATACAGGCTCAGTCAGATCACACTCTCTTCTTTAAGAAGACAGGCCATTCCCTGACTCTACTTGCAATCTATGTAGATGATATTGTGATAACAAGGAGTGACATTAGTGAAATTGAAACCCTTAAACAGCATCTTCACAAGGAATTTGAAGTGAAAGACCTAGGGAAATTACACTACTTCTTAGAAATTGAGGTAGCTCGATCTAAGCATGGCATTTTTATCTCTCAAAGGAAGTATGTTTTGGACTTATTGGAAGAAACTGGAAAGTTAGGAGTGAAACCCTCTGACACTCCTATTGAGCTTAATCATAAAATAAGTACAAAAAGTGGAAAACTCCTTGAGGACAAGGCTATGTACCAAAGGTTGGTTGGGAAACTTCTTTATCTCTGCCTAACTCGGCCAGATATTTCTTATGCTATCAGTGTTGTTAGTCAATACATGCATTCTCCTAGAACCACCCACCTCCTTGCAGTAGAAAGGATTCTTGCCTACTTAAAAAGATGTCCAGGGAGAGGTATACTCTTCAAGAATAATGGTCGTATGAAAGTAGAAGTGTATACAGATGCAGATTGGGCTAAATGTGTTAATGACATGAGGTTTACGGTCTATCTCTGGATATTATGCATTTGTGGGGGGAAACCTTGTTTCTTGGAGAAGCAAGAAACAGAATGTTGTTGCTCACTCCAGTGCAGAAATAGAATACAAATCCATGGCCAATGGTGTTGTAGAAGTGTTATGGCTAAGATCCTTGCTTAATGAACTAGATATTGATTATGAGAAGCCTCTGATGTTGTATTGCGATAATCAAGCTACAATTAATATTGCCCACAACCCAATACAGCATGACAGAACTAAGCATATTGAGGTTAACAGACATTTTATACGAGAACGAGTCGCATCCCAAGAAGTATGCCTTCATTACATTGCCTTAAACATGTAGTTAATTGATCTCTTCACTAAAGCAGTCACAAAAATCAAATTGGAGATAGATTTATGCATGTTGGGCATGACAAATATCTACTCCCAACCTAAAGGGGAGTGAAGAAATAGTTAGTAAGCCACGAGTGTGGGGTTCCATACCAACACTCGGGCTCTAATGTGTGTAGTTCCATACCCACACCTAGTTATGTTTTAATTTCCTTTTAAGTTAGGTCGACTGGCCTTATCCATATTATGTGTTTGTTTGATTAGGACTAGGATTTTCTGTTTTATTAGGAATAGGATTTTATGTTTTTCTTCTATTCTTGTAAGGAACCAAAAGCTATAAATAAAGAAGTGTATGGAGCGGCAGATATCATCAACCGAACCCCTTTCTTCTCCTCTCTCTCTCTCTCTCTCTCTCTTCCCTTCTCTTCAAATCTAGTTCTCTTCTTTTCTTTTAAGACAGAAGTCCACTAGTTTTTCAAGTCGAGGTAACTTACGCGCACATCTACAATAGAAGCCCAACCGGTTGGCTCACTACTTTGCTAACTTGGGCCATCAAAGAAGCATCTCTAACCCTCCAAAAACCTTAGATTTTAGAATTCGGATTTCGTCTTTAACAAAATCCATCCTCACAACCCTTTGAGCATCTCCAACCCTCTAACTGGTTTTGCAAGGATGGAATCCAGATTTCAGATTTCAAATTTGATTTCAGGGTAAAATACAAAAACCTCCCCTAAAGTTTCTGATAATCATAAAAACCTCCCCTATAGTTTCATTTTAGCAAAAACCTCCTCTCTATTTTTGACAAAATCAACAAATACCTCCCTTCCGTCAATGACCAAGACGAAAAACATTAAAGAGATGACCATTTTTTCAAAATTCCTATTTTACCCTTTTTCGAACACTGTTCATCCTCTTCCTCACACGCACAACGGAAGAATGGTAATGCACTCCCCCCTCCAACCTTCCCTCTTCTTTAATTTCCCTCCGATTCTCTTTCTCTCTCCCAACAACGACAGAATGGCGATGCACTGTTCATCTCTGCTTCTCCTCTTGTTTATTAATATTTCTGTCTCTATTGATGAAACTATCTTTACCTTTCATCTCCCCAGATCACGTTGACTTGCAAGGTTGGAACGACCAGAGCAGCACCAAGAATCTGAGCAATCACAACGGCATCAACTATTCGATTCCTTTGTTGATTCATCCCACCATAAACCACAACCAGTAGATACTTTCTCCAATCCTTCACAATCACTTCGCTCGACCTCCGATACTCACCATTGAAATCTAAGCATGGTCGACAACCTCAATAGTGCACCGCCATTCTGTCATTGTGCGTGTGAGGAAGAAGATGAACAATGTTCGAGAAAGGGTAAAATAGGTATTTTGAAAAAATGGTCATCTCTTTAACATTTTCTATCTTGGTCATTGACGGAAGGGAGGTATTTGTTGATTTTGTCAAAAATAGAAGGGAGGTTTTTGCTAAAATGAAACTATAGGAGAGGTTTTTATGATTGTTAGAAACTTTAGGGGAGGTTTTTGTATTTTAACCTTGATTTTATTTCTTCAGCATCAATTGATTTCTTGGGTCGGTCAGATTTCAAAAAGGTCTAGGCCTTTCTGGCCCGGCACGGCCCAAGCCTGCATGGCTTGTAGCCCATTGAGACCAAGCTCATTGCCTCGCCTGGGCGCCCATGGCCTGCCTCATCACGCAACATGGCACAGCTCGCTCTTGCGCGGGTCACAAGCGTCCCGATTTACACATCTAGGTCAGTCCCGAGGGAGTATTAATTTAAGGGGTAATAGCATATAAGGGCAACTTTTGGGGTTTAATATCAATAAAAGTAATATTTAAAAAAAATAAAAAATAGGTTAACTTTTTAAAAATAATATCAATAAAGGGCAAAAGCACAGTTCATCTTCTTGCCATTTGTTCACTAGCGCCGCCACCCGCCACCGCCCATCTCCGCCTCTAGCAACGTTGTCGAAAGTGGCAGCGGCGCTTGGTGGTCAATCCTCTGCCCAATGCCACCGCCGCCGCCTTTGTCTCCACTCACCTCCGGCAACGTTGCTGAAGGCAGAGGTGGTGGCATTGGGCAGAGAAATAACCACCAGCGCCGCCGCTACCACCTCCAGCAACGTTGCCAAAGGCGGAGATGGGCAGAGGCAATGGCGAACGGTAGCACCAACGACGACACTGGTGAACAAACGACAAGAAGATGATGAATAGTATTTTTTCCCTTTATTGATATTATTTTTAAAAAGTTAATCTATTTTTGAAAATATTTTAAAAATATTACTTTTATTAATATTAAACCCCAAAAGTTGCCCTTATATCGCTTTAGTTTCTATCGGCGTACTAGAAAGCGAATACCAGCAGCACATCCGGATTTGGAAATAGCCCACAGGCTACAATGCACCCTGGATTGGTTTCCGGAAATAGCCCCCGGCCCCGAGATGTGACCAAATCAATTTCAAAATTCAATCCTAATCCCTCTCCCATACTGCTGCTGCCCACTGACTGTTCCAGGTCAATTCCAACAAACAAGATCTGATCCCACCAAATCATTGACCATCTCTTTTTGAGTTTTTTCTTTTTCTTTTTTTTTTTTGAAAAAAAAGAACCCACTTCCGAAATAACAACAGCAACCCACATCATCATACGCTGATCCCTTCATCCGATTAGTGCCCTGAGTCCCTGACCCTTCCCGTTTCCATCTCCATGAAAATAAAAAGAATAAAGAAATCGGTTACTGTTAACCAAATACCCTCTTTCTTATTCTTCAGAGACTGAACTAGCTTTCTTTTTTCTCTTTTTTTTACAGAAGGAAAAAACAAAAAAGTTACATGCAAGGTACGGGACACGAATACACATCCCCAACCCAAACAAATGACTGGTTTATTCAGGAATCCGCTGAATTTGTTATCTCCACCTTTATGGTTTTGTTTTTTGGTGCACCACCGTCGGTTGCCTCATCGAACAAGTTCTCTTCATTCTTGATTGATGCAATTCTTTCCTGGATACTCACTCAGCCCGCTTGTTTCTTCTGTACTACTTGGAGCCACTTCTCGGCGAAGAAGCTTTAAGTTGCTGGCAACAAACAATATTCAAATTTCAACCTCCGAAGATATAACAACTAACCCAGTAAATAAAATAATTAAAAGTAGCGAAACCCTATAAAGAGTGGATCATGAAAGTTGAAACAGACAGTTGCAGGCAAATATGGTTAACCATCCTCCACTGACACCTCTAAATCCCCTACAAATTGATTCCCCCCCGGACCGGTTGCCCACACGATGCTATCCACTCAGCTTTCAACATGATTTACAGACGCACATCACATACATGTTTCGTGCTCTTCACTCTTTACCTTTGAGACATCAATCATGTTTAAGATGTGCGGCTGTAGATCATGTTGAGAGCTTGTGCGTAGTGTCCCATGTGTAGCAGATCTAGTATTCCATATGACAAAGGCAACTGGGGACCATGATGGTAAAGATGAGAACCTCATGACATCATATAATGGGCATAATTTACATAACATGAAAACATATGTACGCTTTAGCTGTTTAATGGGCTGTGAAATCAATGATAAGATTTTACACCAGTAATAAGCTCACACCTTTCACACTGGGACCCATTAATTTATTACTGACAATAAACCTCATCATTAATTCTACAGCCTGTTAAACAGTCAAAGCCTTTGGCTAATCCGAATTCGATCAAATCCCGTTGCCGGCGGGGATGGGGTGGGTTATGGATACGGGAGATGGGCTATCCTGTTGTTTAGCCCCGTGGAACTAAAACAGGCTATCTCTGCCTGTAAATTAATAATAACAGAGTATAGAATTTCACCACTGCACATAGCAAAGACATTGTACTAAATTTTCAAGTAGCAATAAAAAAGGCTTTAAATTAGCACCATTGCTTGCTCTCAAATTTCAAATTACAACACAAAACGGACTTCATATAAAAGGAAATAAAGATAACAACGTAAAGAAATTGAATCCACCCCCGACTGGACAACCATACTCCATACAATGGCTTAGAACTCACTTTGTTTTGTTTGTTATTGTAAAGAAATAAAATAAAAACTGAAGATTAGTAAAATCTGAAGCAAAAATAAATTAGAATTTGCAAACTTTTTATTTGAACTTCAGTGTCTTTGCATCAAGTGCAAATGAAATTACACTGAAAACAAATGGAGCCTTGGGCATCTAAGGAAGACAAAAATATTTTATTCTATGGAGAATCTGTACATATGAGAGTGCAACTCTGTAATTCCTAATAATATTCCTAATGTGTTTATTTTCTTCTCTCTATTACATTGTGTAAAAGATATAAGATTCCACTGAGGCATTCATTACATTGGGAATTCTAATCCTCTAGACAGCAAAAAATATTATTAATCTAAGCAAATCCAAGTTAATTGTGCAAGACTTGCACCTAATGGGCACTTCAAAACGATATTAGCTGTGCAAATAATTCTTTGATTTTCACCGCCACAAATAGGCACTTCAAAATGATATTAGCATCTATTTTTTGGGGAGAAAGTGTACCTTCCCCCTGCAAGATTTGATTATTTTAACAAGCAGTTCATCGCCCACGATCTGCCTCACTTTCTGTACAAGTTGTTCCCTGGTAATTTTCTTTTCCTGCACACCCACAATTGACAAGGTATAAGCACCCGATGGAATGATAGAATGACAAACATCTCTATATCCCTTGTATATTCAAATATGAAGGTATCAAAGATTATCTTGGAGGTGCTTACTCTGTAACTATAGTGATATTTCTGTATGACACGAATGGTAGTAGGAGGTAAAAACCTCGCAAGCACAGAGATTAAAGTAGGAAACGGCATCCAAGCTGAGGTGGGTTTTACCACTGGCTGTTGTACCCTATGAAACCCTGAACAGTTGGGAGATAGAAAATAGATGAGTCCAACGTCCTGCAACACAGACTTCTGATTCACATTAATTAAAACCCAAATCTCATTCAAAATGGGAACAGCAGCGCACAAACCGTTTACCTTCCAAGCAAGGAGGAGCACTGAAACTTATAACGTATTCTGGCAAGATGTGAGTATTCATATGTGTACTCCAAATAATATATTTTCTAGGAGCTAACAGATTATCAACCCCAGAATCAAACTCCTCGGAGCTTGGATGAAACTGTTCTGAACCAGAACGGACCTCTTCCATATTTCCCAGGATCACTCGACAAAGCAAGACATGTCGTAGACCATTCTTATTGAGAGTTGATGATAACGCACTGCAAATTATGAAAAAGAAATAAGAAACTATACATAGATGACATTTATTTTATGTGTTGAACTTGCGAAAATGAAAGAGGAATTCATCAAACCCCTAACAAGGGGAGATGTGATTTTTTTTCTCTACTTTAGCATACCTGTCTAAGGAAAAATTCTCAGGAGATAGATAGAGCCCACTTCCGTACAATCCATTGTTCTCAGGCCTTCCAGACTGACCAAAACCATGGGAGATGATCCTATCCACCCCATCCCTAGAAGTGCCATACCAAGCAAATTTAATATTTGGATTCCCGTGGCACTTTTGTGACATTGCCTGCGAGAAAATCCTGAAGGATTGCAATCGAGCTAGCCCTTGGAAACTTGAATAAATGTTCTTGTGTATACTCGTAATTGTTGTAAGACTACGAACGGATCCCATACCCATAAGGAATCTCTGCTTGATGACGCTGTGCTCTTTATCTCCTTCTTCCAATCTGATCAACTCATTTCCACTGAAGAGCCGAAACTCCCGAGTGATGACACCGCAAGTACCACTCTCGGAGTCGGAAACTGATATTTCCCGATCATGGGCAGTCTCTGACACTGAATCTCCAAAATCAATATACTCTGTATGTACACTTGATCCATCTGTTCTCGAATTGTTAGAAACTAAGCCACTACAACTATGATCGTGAGCCATTCCTACGGAAAAAACTTGTAACTGACATTTCTGCTTGTGATTCTCCATAATAGCTGAATGTTAATGAAAAACTGGAGGCACGTAATTGAAGTTAAGGGTTCTCCAAGACACACTCTCGAGTAAAGAGAAAGAGCCTATAGCAACAGCAACCAAAAGCAAATTCGAGCTCCTTAATTGCAGATTCAAGATTGGGATTCGCCAGCAGGACATCCAAATTGCCGAATCGGATTCTCCATCCTAGAAAGTGGTGCCGAAAAATAGAGAATACGAATACAAATCATCCTCAAGTCTAAAGATGCCAGTTCAAACACATGGACAGAAGTAGTACGAATAGCTTCCTCTCTCTCTCTCTCTCTCGTACCTGGAAATTACGAATCAAGATAATTAAAGCGGCCTCTGAGAATCACAGAACAGCATAATCTTTCTCAAATGACAGACAAAGAGATATACACTAAGGCCAAGATAACTAGAAAAGAAAAAAAAAAGTAATGAACGATCTCCCCTAGGTGCTAACAACATTCCAAGTGAGATAATACATAACTTAAATCAAAAGAACAGTTAAAAACCATATAAAAACTAAACAATGTTGAAGAAAGAAGAGGTGATGGAGAACGAACCTCTTTAAGCTTGAACCGAAGAGTGTGATACCGCACCTCCTCTTTTAGGTCGTACTGTGCGTAGTGTAAGAAACAGATGAAGAGAATGGAAACGAAGATTTCTTGGGGTCGAAGACTGATTCGTGTTCAACCAACAAAAAATAACCAACCACAATCGAAGATCGCTTGGAGAAGAGGAAGGAAGGTGAGGAAACGTTTATATACGGGACTACGAAAACCGCCTAAGTTTGATTTTCCTACTTTTGGCGGTGCGGCGCAAACTGATTTCCTTGCCGCCGCATGTTTATTTGGACTTTGGACAGAGAGTGAGAGAAGAAAGTCGGTCGTTCAGAGATTCGCAATTTTTATTGTTTTTACTTTTTACTTTTTACCCTTCTCTATTTCGTCTTCTCCTACGGATAACGGAGTAACGGTTTAAAGGCTGCAAAGCAACACTGCACGAACATTTTGAGTTTTTTCGTAATGTATTTTCACTATTTTTTCTTTTGTTTTCTTTCTTATTTATTAAGACACCCTTATACTTTACCAAAATCATCAAAATGCCCCTTACAGTTTGGGCGTGTTCCACAAACCACGACATGATTGATTTTGATTTTGTTAGTGGCCTAGTGGGAAGGAAAATGGTTGGTTTTGTTTTCGAAAATAAAAACAACTGCCACATACAATTTTGGTGATATAACAGTTGTTTTTGTTTAAAAAATAATAATCAATCACGTTTTTTAACAGCCCCTTTAATTTCATCTGACCTCTTAAAATGATTTTTATTCTAAAAATGCCCATGAGAAATTTCATCTTCTCCATTAGAACACGGCTTAGGCTCTGAAGATGTCAAGGGCCCTTTCCTCCATAAACTTGAACGTGGTTATGGTGAGGATGAAAAGGCCATGACCACAACACACACTCTCTTTATGATAAGTTCATAACGATGATTTTAGATCCTTTTTCATCTAACATCCGAACTTTGAAACATTTTTCAATTGAAAATGTAAAGCAATACAGCTAGGTTTTAAAAACTATACCAGACATGGAATCATTTTGGCTACAGGTTTTTGGGTCGAATGATTCGACCATTCAGTTCAAATGAATGGCCTGTTCTGATTTAAAAAATAAAAAATAGCCAAAAACTATTGTTTAAGTCGACAAATAGACTATTTAGGTCAGCGGGTTGTTGATCAAGTCAACGATTTTTGGCCCATGAGTGGTTTTAGGGTGAAACGAAACTGGTTATTTGGACAATTCTCGGGTCAACTGGTCTGATGTCAGATCCGGTTCAGTTTTCAAAATCATACAATATAGAGACAGAGGAAAATGCTAACCTCAAAATCCGCCTATATTTCTCCTCTCTCCATTCCACTAATCTCTTGTTCCCTCTAAATCTCTCCAACCATACAATTCACTTATTCACTTCTCAATTTTCTTCTTTTAAAATTATCTATTTGAATAGAGAAAATCTATGATATCAAGAAAAATATGGTATTGAAATAACTTTAACCAATCAAAACCTATGGGTGGATTTTGACAAATACCAGGTGATTGGTGAATTTTGACAAATATCGCGTGATTGGCTAATATGTCTATGATACCGGTTGATTGGTCACAAGTTCTTTGGATATCATATTTTTCTGGTACCATAAATTCACGGTTGAACCCATTTGAACAAACCACCAATAATGCCACATGATCCACAACTTGCTTTTGCCACCAAGGGGGTGTTCTTTTTTTGGATTTTGAGAGGGGGGAAGTTGGTCAATGGGATTTTGGTTCCTTGTTCCCATTGACCAGAATCCCATATTCTTTTTTCAAATTAATGTGGGGACTAGGGAAATTTTATTTTCTCGAGTAAGTGATACCCATCTCTTTAGTGGGTAAATAATTTTTCCCACCAAGGGAAAAGTTTCCAACACTTGAGTGGGACAAAAATGCCCCTTTTAATAATGGATTTTTATGGTTAAAATGGTCATTTCCTTTTTTTTTACCTGGAAAATAAAAGAACATGGGTAAATACACTTACTTGGGTAAGTGTTTCTCAGAAAAAACTTATCCAAATAATTGCATTTACCTGGGTAAGTAACTTACCGAAAAGCGAACGGCCCAAAAGTGGCATCACAAATCCATGTAATATGTTCTAGAGGTGGCCTTGACAAGTACTCAGATGACGACTAAGATGGTATTTGTATGGTTCTATTGTTGTTACCTAAAAGACGACACCAACTCAGTACCACATAAGCATTTTCTCAATAGAATTTGAAATGTTGTTTGGTTAAACCATTGATCAAAGAAGCATTTTTCTTGGATTGTGTAAAAATTATCTGTTTGAAAAAAAAATATATATCTTTTTTTTTATATTTCTCCCAATATTTGGGCGTTTTTCACTATTCAGTGACACTTCATGGTGTCTAATGGCACTTAATTGTTAAGGTTGCATTTGGTTGTAGTGCAAATTTATTTGCACTAGTATAAATGTATGGGAGTGCAAATGTAAAAAATGCAAATTATTGTTTAATTTTGTTTTGGATTTTATTTTATTCTACTTCATGTCTTAATTTACTTCATTTGTACTGCAATCAAACAAAATAAGCTAAAATTTGAAATAAAAATATATCAGAATTTACACTCAAAATCATTTGCACTGTCATGGTTTTGCACTCAAATCGTTTGGAAGGAGTACAAATACAAATATATACTTTATAAATGCACACAAAATAATACAAAATACAAGGTTTTGCACTCTACAAATTTGTATCTGTACTCCTTCTAAACTGAGCCTAAAAAAACTGTTTTTAAATAATTTTTCAGAGTTTTCAAAGGAGATATCATTTGAAACTTTTATTAAAGAAACAACAACAGAACTAAACAAATAATCAACCAACAACCCAATTTTGTCGATATCTTCTGAACGGCTAACTTGTTCTCTCATTACCAGGCTCAGATCCATTGCTATCGGTCTCTCTAACAAATTTAGTTACTTTCTCATCACCCAGCCATCTGCAAAGTTGCTCAACTCAAATTTATTGGCGACATTTCCTAAGTGGACCATCCTCCCCACTTCCTCCTAGTATATATAATTTTATTAAGGGAGAATTTCTTAAACTATCCCTACTGTTTAGCTAATTGACAAATTATACCCTTTCTGTTTAACTATTGTCTTAAACCACCCTTACTATTTTTGATAATTGACTAACTTTACCCTTGTGTTAACATTTGTTAATATTCTATCAAAATCAGTACACACATGACTCCACTTGACCTATAAATTTTTTAAAACCCAATATTACCCTTTGTCCCTCTCCCTATCTCTTATTCTTCTCCTTCTTCTCTCTCTCTCTCTCGGCAAACGAACCTCTTGTAAGTATAATGATTAAACTGCTTTGATGAAGTGGTGAATTCTGAGTTTATGGGTTTTCGAATTTGAAATGATGCTAACACCTAACAATAAATAAAGATAGGATTAGTGCAGCCTAGGGAACCAATGAAGTGCTTTATACTCTTGTCTGGTTTGTGATCGGTTGTCCCTTCTTATACTCGTGCTTCTATCTCTCAAAGCGGAAGCAGCAATACTTATTGAAGAAAGCCCTTGTGCCGACTGCTTGGTTCACTGTTGTTGCGAGTCATGCACCTTGTGTCAAGAGTACAGGGAGCTCAAAAAGAAGGCAAGGGGAATTGATATTATCATTAACAGTTAATATTAATTAAAATAATCCATTCTATAGGTGCAGGGCATTCAAATTTGGGACCGATTTCTGGAGACATGAATAGGACAGTCTTGAACAACAAAACATACTCAGGGCCAAGTGTCGGAGCAAGATTATTGGTCACATACACTAATTCAGCACTCTTTGGAGGACCTCATATGCTCGGGCATTCTACCATTCTCTTCTTCCTCCATCTCTTCCCGTGAATTGGGCAATCTGTCCAGTACCGAAAATGGTTTCAACTCTTGTATCTCCACATCGGATTGTTTCAGAGATCCAACATCTTCCTTTTTCTTTTTGTGCATAGCCGAAATTCCATGAACGCAATCAATGAGATCCAACATCCTGTGGCTCAACTGACACAACCGATGTGGCGGCAATTTCTGATAACCCTCCACATAAATGGCTGCCTACCCAATAGCAAGGGAACAACTCGGTTGCAATAGATGAGTCTCGTTGCTGAAGTAGTTGAGTCTTGTTGCTTAATTACTCCAGTCCATTGCAGTGACATCAAGTCCTTACATCTACTCTTCCTTTCTCCATCCTCATCGCCTATCCAGAAACAGAACGTACTTTCTCCGTCCTCATCACCTATCCACAAATAGAACGCACACAATAGATTTAAAGAGTTTAAGTTTTCTTTCACTCAATTTCATTTTTCCTCCATCCTCTCTCTCTCTCTCTCAAGGATTTAATTAAGGATTATGACCGCTAGTGACACGTAAGAGCTTGTTTGATCAATTGTTTTGATGAAAAACTACTTCCGGCTAATTTGCCACCACGACAACTATGTCAACTACCTCAACAAGTAAAGCTTCTTTGTCTTGCTGGAGATTGTTACAACTCTCCTTAGAGTGTCGTAATTTGATTTCATTAATGGCAGTGGGAAGCTGATGCACCAACATCGGAGATCAATCCCATTGAAGAAGCATCACGTTGAAGAATTCGGTGGATGGTTCTTCAAATTTTTCATAAATTGGATTTTATTTTGAAATTTTGAGGAATAGTGGAGGGTAAATTCGACGTTTCATTTTTTTCCATTAGCACTTATTCAATACGTAAACAGCAATGATAGAATTAATCAATTAACTAAACCATAAGAGTAGTTTAAGAAATTTGCCCTTTCATTAGTTATCCAGTGCATTAGTAGCAGCAGATGATAATGGTAAGGCATATGACAATAATATTGACAAGTGGATGGAGAAATGCGACAACTCTTAGAGTATAAGCTAATATTGTTTACTAGTTAAAAATGTCAAACCACACTTTCATCAAAGAGAAGGAAAGTTAACATAAGTGTACAAAGTATATGGGGTGTTTTAGTAGAGGAAAGATATGATATCCAAAATACTTGTGACCAATCAATTGAAATCTAAACATGGTAGCCAATCAGGTGTTATTTATCAAAATTCATGGGTGAGTTTTGATGGGTCAAAACTCTTCTATATCATGTCTTTCCTGTACCATAGATTTTCCCTTTAGTAATACATAAACTGTAAGGGTGTTTTAGTTAATATGAAATACGGTTGGTG